TGTGCTTGCCTCGGCAAATTGTTAATCTTTCAACGTGGTATTCAGATTTTGCTGAATTATCAGCGGTTCCTTAGAACGCGGTGAGGTTAGTTACGTTTATAGAGCCTCGTAGTTAGTCTCTTGTTATTATCTCTTTTTAGTTTCTTATTTTTATTTTACCGCCGGGTCGGCGTAGTTTGTGAGCGTCAAGAGCACGCATTTGTAACTTCTAAAGTTGAATAAAAAGGGACTTAAACCCTTCGCAGAACTCTGTCTAATTTCCAGTTTCAGCTATCACCACTTGGTTGCGTGCAGGTTGGAAGCGCGCAACTCTACAACATCATAACCGTGGAAGTAAATGCGTAACCAGCGAAACAGATCCATAAGGTGGCGTCATTCATCGGAGCCCTCCAGAACTAAAAGTGAAATTTAGTTAGACATCGTATAGAAAAGGTGAACTAATTTATATGTCCATTTTAATCATCTCTTCGACGATCTCCAGTGCAAGAAGAAACTCTTCCTGAGGAGACTGCAGTTATTTACATTTTTAAGCAAACTCCATAAATTTGCTAACCAATTTTTTGACATTTTCATCCAGCTGGAAATCTTTTGAGCCTTGCGACACAACATCAGAGTAAGATTTCTCATTTGGAGTCTTGCTCTTAATTTCTCACTTCTTATTTCTCGGGGGGGGGGGAAGCTTGCTAGTAATAACATCAGAGATTGGCCGATTGAAATCGCTTCTTCAGATGTTCAACTTTGCGATATTTTGGTCGAAATTCACATATATTTGCCGACGCTACATGGTCTAATTTACAATTGACACAGGTAGGTTTCTCCTCTTTTTGAAGTTTACACGTGTAGGTAAGATGGCCCTTATCACATTTCATACATCTAGGAAGGTTATTGCAAAATAATTGCTCATGTCCATATCGTTGGCACTGGTAACACATCCTTGTGCTCCTGTTGCTTTTAAATTTAAGTCAATTTAAAATCTAGTAGCTTTTTCTTTCTGTAAATGCTTCCGGCATCAGTTCTCTGAATAGAAACACAGAAAACTGGAAGTTTTACATCTGAGTTGTCTATTTTCCGAGTGAATTGGGATTCTTTCACTGCAAAGTTCATTCTTAATATCCTCAGTAGAAGAATCATCGGTGTGGAAGTCTGGAACATAGGAAATGTTAAACACTGTTCTGACTCCAATAATATTAATATTTATTTACATTTCTTGCATATAAAATTACAGAAAATCAGTCATTGTTCTTTTTCTTCTTGAGGGTTTACTATTGCCACTCTGGCGAAAAGAAAATTGCATGCGAGGAGTTTCACAGATGGTGCATCATTAACGCGAATAATATCGCCATACACCCCCCTTCCCAGTGATAGCGTTATACCCGCAGTGGCTAATCGCACTGACGGTGAGAATAGCTAACAGGCTTTCACACCACCTACGTTCGCGCATGCGCACAATCAGCCCAGGTACCAGCATTTTACGCCGATTTCCGTAAGGCAGGCGGTAGTGAGAGCGAAGGTTGTTAACCCTAACTCAGCAATAAAAAGGAATGTCAATAGTTCACCAGCAAGAAAATAATTTGCAAGTAATAATTATCAGTTACAAAGACGAGGTCAATCTATATACATGATAATGTTCAGGAAATGATTAGATAAAATAGGATTTAATGATGGTTCTAAATGCAGGTGAGGACGAGTAATTAGTTAAAAAATCTTTAGTGTATTGACAAAAAGGCTACAGAAATTACATAAATTCTTTTATTTAACAGAGGAATTTTTATGCAAAAATAGACCCTATTCTTATAGCATAGGACTGTCAGAATTTATTATTCAATAAGAAAACTTACTGAAAATGATAATATTCTTATATATTCATCACTTTTTCATTATCCACACAGGTTTATATGTTCAAATGCCATATTTCAAAATCAAAGTTATTTATGAAATAAAACCTTACAAAATCTGATAAATCATTTGTGTGTGCAAATTTTTAAATCTAAATCTTCCACATTAAATTATTTCTGTCAATTAAATTACATCCCATTATTTATTTCAATTTAATTGATTAATGTGTTAGTACTAATATTTCAAAGTTCTTTGAAGCACTTTTTGTGTCCTGAAAATGCCAAGTATTTCCATCAAAAAATAAGCAGGCATACAGAATAATTCATTTAATAGTTGATATAATCGCTTTTAACTTATTTCATGTCTAAATTTTCTACACAGAAATCCTCTGTCTAATTTTTAGTATCTTTTATCAGACGAAATTTTTGAAAGAGGAATGACTTAAAGTCTTGATTTCGCAAAACACATCTTTAAAGCTAAATGTATTCTAAGAAGTACAAAAAATGTAAACAAGATTTTGTCTTCCCCCCAAATCAGTTAGTTAAACTGTTCAAACCGTTCAGGAAAAGGATAAACACTGCGAACATAAAAATCTGCCATTTTTTATATATACTTTAATAAAAGGAAATGTGTTCCTTCTTTTTATAAGAAAAGGAACCCATTTTCCTTTCTAAACTTTTGAAAGTCGCCAACGCTTAAAAAATGATAAACTACGCCAAGGTAGAACTGAACTCCGCCTTATTTTTTAAAAAAAGATTCACTACAATAGTTCGCTTACGTAGAATCAGTTCCTTTCGATTGGATTCAATTGCGGGATCTGACAACTCAATGCGCATACGTGGTTAATAATGTTGGTGCGAATAGCTTAAACGGCTAATCGCACCGGAGGTGCGATCCGATCCGAATAAGTATGGCTGGAGTAGCGCGGGAAGCGCGCTGTTTCCAGCTCATGAAGAGAGCCAGTAGGCATATGACGGTAGGAAGTCTGACGTGGTAGGAGTTGAGAGAATGAAGTGAGGCAGAAGGGGGCGAGCAAGATGCCGCAAGCCTAGGAATTAGGCCATACAAGAAGACGCGCCGCAGACGGAGCAGTGCAAGGTAAAGCAATCATGAGTTTTTATGATAAGATACTGTGAGAGTATATTACATGACAGAACGAGTTTGTAAGAATACAAACTCTCAAAAGTATACATTTGCAAATATAGAGTTACAGTGACAAAAATGCAGTTTGTAAGATCAGATATCATATAGACGTTTCGATGAAATAATGAGAAAAGTGTTCATAAAAGCTATATACAATATATACAACTATATACAGGAATATTCTACTTTAAGTAGGAAAGTTCAGATCTCTGGCTATGTGGGCTGCCAGCGATCGTAACTCTTTATCTTCCGGTAGTGGAATGTAGTCAAATACATGTAATTTTGTCATGTGAGGGCATGTAACTGCTTTCTGGGAAAAAGCTGGAGTTTAAGCGATGAAGATGCTCTATGACAGTTTCAATTTTCAAATCCTTGTGTAAAGTCCTATTAGATACAAATAATGCGCATTCGTGAAGGTGCGCAGCAATTGTTCTGTGTAATTTGTAATTTAGATATGTCCCTGTCTCTAACTGATGCCCACGCAGGGGGATGCATACGTGAAGATTGGCCGTATAAAACAGAGATGTATAAGTGCCGTTTTCTTCTTAAGTCCAGTTTAGAGTGCTCGTTAATAAGTGGGTTAAGACTCTGAATGACTCCTAGTGTTTTTTCCCCCTGACATGAGTCAGGTGATCCTTCCAGGAAAAGAATTTATCATTAATAATAACGCCAAGGTAATTCGCCTTGAGTTCTCTAGAAACTTCTGTGTCAAATAGCTTAAGCTTTTCTGTGATTTCAGTGGCAGAGTTCTTCTTTCGGATAATGAGCAGTTTAGATTTATCTGCGTTAATTGAAATACGCCATTTGGTACACCAAAATTCTATTTGCGGCATGACTTGTTGAAGTTTCCTGACAGCTTGATTAGGACACATAGATTTTACAGCAAGCGAGGTATCATCGGCATAACAGCCAATGAAGTAATTGTAGTTAAAGTCTGTTTTAGGGAAGTCAGTCACAAAGAAAAGATATAAGATCGGGCCTAAAATTGACCCTTGCGGGACGCCGGCGTGACCTTGCTGGCTTTAGGTAAGACAATCATTTTGGCTCTTTTCCAGGCAAGCGGAAAGTAATTGATAGTTAAGCAAGCATTTAAAATACTGGCATATCTTGCAATACAAATTTTCGGTAAGTTCTTGATCGCTAGGTTGGTTATTGCACCATAGCCCGGTGCCTTCCCGTTTTTTAGTTTCCTTATGATTTCTTGGATTTCATGTGGAGAGGTGAGTTCCAGATTGTCTTCTAAGTCCTCCTGTGAGGTAAACCAGTCATTAATGCAGTATCTTACATCATAAGCGAAGTCTATGTCACAAGGACTCTCATTCGGTTTAAACGGATTTTCAAAATGTTCTGCAAAGGCGTTTGCTTTTTCTTTATTAGTGAGAGCCACGCTATTATTGAAGTGAAGTGGTTTGTTCGCTACAGCTTTTCCTTTTAGATTTCTGACAAATGACCAGAACGCATTGTCTGGTTCATTAAAATTCATGATTTTCTCGTTCCAAAGGTCATTTCTGAGCTGAAGAATTGATTGTTTGATGTCACGATTCAGTCTATTAATTTCCGTTTTAGTACTCGGGTTCCATGTTCGATTCCAGGCTTTCCTTAATCTATTTCTTTCTCTGATTTTATCTTTGATGTGGCGGGGAAGTTTTCCAGATGTCTGTTTAATGGGAATGTTCTTGGTGGCAGTATTGACTGCATTAATGATACTGTTAGTAAACAAGTGCACAGCTAAGTCTATGTCCTGCTTGATTCTTAAAGCTGTATTCAGGAAGGTACTATTACTTAAGATCAGATTATACTACTTCCAGTCTGTAATCTTTTTCTCCTGCGTCATTTTGTCTTTTAGGATTCCAAGTTGGCTATTACAGGTAAATGATCCGAACCGGTGGTGCGAATAGAATCGGCCTATTTTAATATATTTGGGCATCACGTGTATCAACAATATACTCTGCACCTTTCTCGTCTTTCTACCAGCTAACAAATAAAGGTACACTACCTTTTAGGAGAACTAGGATAAAATACTTTCAGAATGAAAAGCAAGAAATGAAATCTAATGAAATTATTTGAGATCATATTAACAGTTTTAAGGATACTGTTGCGAAATATTTAGCTGACATATCCTAAAATTGCCGCAAATATCAAGCTAACTGAAAGATCGCCAGGACGCCCCATCTTCGAATTTCTAGGCAGCGACAAATGATTTTGAATTTTTAAATCGTGTTCGGCAACAATAGCGAAGCCCGGTAAACTTACGAATTACTGAAACAGTGATAAAAAATATTTAAACGAGTAATAGTGCAGTTACTAATTATTATCGTTGATTCTGCAGTTAGGAGAGAAGTACGTAGGCAGAATTCTAGGTTTTCCATTCATTGTTTTAATTTATTTTCGGTTAAATGTAACAATATTTTTTAAATTGTGAAATGCATTCTTACTTCTGTTTTCAATTATTACTTTTTGTATAGTTTTATTTAGGAATTAAATTTAATTAGAATGATTTCTTAGATTTTCTTAGACCTTTGTTAAGGTTTTATAAAAATCTTTCTAAAGAATATCTGAATTAAAAAGTAGTATTTGTAGATTTTTAGGTTGATCTTTATTTTAAAGTAGTAAATGTATTTTGGATATTTTAGTATCTGTTTTGTTTAAAAGTGAAATTCTATGCATTTTAAATTTGCGTTAGTATGATGCTAAATGTTAAGCGAGATGGTCGGTAAGTCATAATGACACTGAAATAATTACTGTTTAGAAGCATATAAATAATAAACAGATCTTATGGCAAATATCCAAAATCGAGGATGAAATCAGAGGAAGATTTTTCTGTAATCAATTTCAGCCCTTTAATAACGGTGTGTGTGAGAATTTCAAGCTAATGTTTTCAAAAGTATCTAGTGTAAATTATAAGTTTTTCAAGAATGTTTTTTTTTCCCCCTTAAAAACTAAAAAAAAAAAAAAAAAAAAAAGGATTAGAGAAATTTAGAGCTAGAAAATATTGCGTAGTTTTAGATTACCTTCACCCCACACCATGGTTTAATCCTAGTGTATGGGATACATACGATTTGGTAACATTTTGATAAGCAGTAAACGAGTCATTTTGGTGTTGGCGACAATTTTCAAAATCGTGCCAAGGCCATACTGTATACTAGGATTTTACCCACACCATAAAGTCATAAGCCTATTGTTGAATTTGGAGAGCATTTGCGAACTTGTTGATGACTAATTTTTTGCCAAGATACTGTACAAAAGGCAACATCTATTTTAAAAGTAGCAGTGCACTGAGAATTCCATTCAAGAGCAATCAGTTCATAAAATTAAAAAAGGAAAAAACATCAGTATCAAAAGACCTATCTTTTTGCGAGAAATCCTTTTGTTTAGTTGTTATTCTTTCCCAAATAGATAGTGATCTGTTTTGCCTTTAAAAAAGAATCTGGAGAATTGTACAAATTTGACATTATGCAGCATCCAAAATAGACGTGTTATGTGCATAACCCGGGTTGCAACTTAAATATTTTTATTGCCATCGTAGATTGCCACATAAATATTTTGGCAACGTACTGCTTTACCTCATGACTTTCAGTTTGCATATAGTCAGGAAATACCAAATACTGTGCCAATTTTGTGTCATTTTTAGTTCTTGTACCTATATTTATTAACATGTTGAGTGCAGCGCCAGTCCCTCGGGACCAGCAATGAATTTTCCGTGTGGCTGGCATCGGTACCCGGGGATCGGCACTGAAATTTTCGTTTGGCTGGTGTCAGTCCACAGGACCGACAGTATTAAAGTTAAAAAATAAATATAGTCTCAATGAAATGTAATCAAATTTAGTTTTAATGAAATGTATTGAAACATTCTAAACAAAAATAGACCCTATTCTTATAGCATAGGACTGTCAGAATTTATTATTCAATAAGAAAACTTAACTGAAAATGATAATATTCTTATATATTCATCACTTTTTCATTATCCACACAGGTTTATATGTTCAAATGCCATATTTCAAAATCAAAGTTATTTATGAAATAAAAACCTTACAAAATCTGATAAATCATTTGTGTGTGCAAATTTTTAAATCTAAATCTTCCACATTAAATTATTTCTGTCAATTAAATTACATCCCATTATTTATTTCAATTTAATTGATTAATGTGTTAGTACTAATATTTCAAAGTTCTTTGAAGCACTTTTTGTGTCCTGAAAATGCCAAGTATTTCCATCAAAAAATAAGCAGGCATACAGAATAATTCATTTAATAGTTGATATAATCGCTTTTAACTTATTTCATGTCTAAATTTTCTACACAGAAATCCTCTGTCTAATTTTTAGTATCTTTTATCAGACGAAATTTTTGAAAGAGGAATGACTTAAAGTCTTGATTTTCGCAAAACACATCTTTAAAGCTAAATGTATTCTAAGAAGTACAAAAAATGTAAACAAGATTTTGTCTTCCCCCCCAAATCAGTTAGTTAAACTATTCAAACCGTTCAGGAAAAGGATAAACATTGTGAACATAAAAATCTGCCATTTTTTATATATACTTTAATAAAAGGAAATGTGTTCCTTCTTAGGCTTAGCTCGCTGCCGGCTGAATGGAAAGGACAACATATTCGGCGCCGCGCTCAACGTGTTAAACGTGACCAAAATTATTTAATAATAAAATGGAAAGCATTTTAAAATATCTTTTACCTTTATATAATGGCTTTAACATAATATTTATTTCTAGCATAATCATGATTCAGCCTTTTTTGTCTCATCTGGCATTTCACCGTAGCATTGTTTTAGCAAGTAAATCTCCTCGAAGAAAGAGAGTTCTAGAGGAACTTGTAAGCTTTTATGTTGTTATTTTTATTAATGAGTTTTAATAAATACTTTGTAAACTTATTTAAAATATTTGCAATTATAATACTTACATTTAAAAACTTTTTTGAGAGTCCAGAGTATATGTTTAACTTATATATAAGTTGCATATATTTTAAGAATTTTATTTAAATGAGAGCCATATTGGGAAATATTAGTAGTTACATACTTTATAAATATTTTTTGTTACAATTTTTTTAACTGGTGATCCCCCCCCTAAATTTTTATGCTCTTTTAAATAAAAGGACTGATTTGGCAGACTGTTTTTTAGCATTGTAATTGTGCCACCAATGGGCAGTCTTCTTGATTTCTTTGGTTGATCTTTGGATTATGGTAACTTGGCGAAAATTTGGCGACCAACTCTGCTACAGCAACCCTCTATTTTTTTTTTCCGCCGCCATTTTGTCTTCACGAAGTAAAGACATGTTTCTTTTCTTTTTATTTACTGAACACTTTTTCCAACAATCTACTAGCCAAATTACACTTATACTAGAAATTTTATCTAACAAAACTGCTTAATCATGACAAATATTCACTGCAAAATTGGGAAAAAGTGCACAATCGCAAACTCCTTGCGCGTTTTTCACAATAACACATACACATAAACCATGTACACGTCGACTTATTTTTACTTAAAAAAACATCCCAGAATTGCACAAAAATGGCATAGCTCACACTCTTCACTATATCCATGTGCGCTGCTTTTTTTCCATAAATTAGAAAATTTTCACGAAAATGCATGACAATTTTCTGAATCTTTAAAGCCGGTAAAAAGAATATATATGAAATTACCTTATCGCGAAAAAGTATATAACCTTTCCAAATATGAACATTTCCACGTATAAAATATCTAAAAACTTTTACCTCTAAATTATCTATTATATTATAAACGTCACCAACGAATTCATACCGCAAACATTACAAATACTTAGTGTCAAATATTTAAATTATTTCCATGCATGTTTACTTCAACTAAAACGTATACCAAATTCCTACGAACATAAAATTCACAAAATAACTATCATTTAATTAAAATATCACTAAACCATGTACATGTCGACTTATTTTTACTTAAAAAAACATCCCAGAATTGCACAAAAATGGCATTGCGCACACTCTTCACTATATCCATGTACACTGCTTTTTTTCTCATAAATTAGAAAAATTTCACGAAAATGCATGACAATTTTCTGAATCTTTAAACCCGGTAAAAAGAACATATATGAAATTACCTTATCGCGAAAAAGTATATACCCTTTCCAAATATGAACATTTCCATGTATAAAATAAATAAAATATCCAAAAACTTTTACCTCTAAATTATCTATTATATTATAAACGTCACCAACAAATTCATACCGCAAACATTACAAATACTTAGTGTCAAATATTTAAATTATTTCCATGCACGTTTACTTCAACTAAAACATATACCAAATTCCTACAAACATAAAATTCACAAAATAACTATCATTTAATTAAAATATCACTAAAGCATGTACACATCAACTTATTTTTACTTAAAAAAACATCCCAGAATTGCACAAAAATGGCATTGCGCACGCTCTTCACTATATCCACGTACACTGCTTTTTTGTCATAAATTAGAAAAATTTCACGAAAATACATGAAAATACTCAACGTATACTACTCAAACATATTCCAAAGTACTACAAACATATAACTCACAAAATCACGATCATTAAATTAAAATATAATTAAATTAAAAAACACTACTTAAAATATAAAATAAGCACATACATTAAATTAATAAAAATTAGATTACAATCCTAATTACTTTAAACTAAATCATTGCTAATAACAATTTTCAAATAATACCATTTTAATTTATTTACTCCTTACATTTAGAACAATGCATAAAAATAATATCCTCAAATGATTAAAAAATACTAACTTACCTAATCTTCTTCAGAATCTTCATTACGTCGCCTTGCAGTACTACTGCTAATTTATAAATCCTAAATCCAGTAGTCAACTGGAAGTCTATTCACCAAGTAATAAGAAATTAATAAAATTTCACCTATACTCAAATTACTTTCAGCAAACCACGTACCCTTCCTTACACTCCTTTTCACAAAATGTCCATTTTCACCATATTTCTTGCACCACCATTTAAACTTGTAATATCCTTCCTTTCACACAATCTCAACTTATTATTATTATCAGATAAACGCATTAAAAATTTAGAATTCACTTTACATAGCGCCATGCAATCTAAAAATTAATCAACGCTATTTCACACAACACACAATGAAGCTTTTCCAAATTAACCCCCTTTTCCAATTAAAGAACTGTAATTCATCCATTAATGTCATGTTTCACACAATACAGAATATAGCTAAATACGAAATTTCCAGATTCCCCCCCCTTTTCCAATTAAACAACTGTAATTCGTCCATTAATGTCACATGACATATCTCATGATCTCTCATTTCCCTCACACAAAATAATGCGTAATCGGAACTGAGTGATTCTCACATTATTACCAAAGTCCTAGGTAGTTTCCTTTATCGCCTCCAAAATGTCGCCAAACTACCAGTTACCATATTCCAAAGATCAGCCATTTCTTTTGTTACTGTTTACAGCCAAGCCAATGTGGATGAAAACAAAAAGAACATGTGCAAAATACATCAATGAAAGCTAAAACACTAGTACAAATGCACAACAATATGTCCTTTAAAATCTTGCAGTACAGCACAAAGTTCAAAATCCGGACTCATCAGTACTTCAGCGATTCCGGATTTGAGATTTTTCCAGATATTAGATCATCAGTTTAAATCTAGTAAGATGGCATGTAAAAATTATAAAATTAAAAATATGAAATCGTGACTTGTGAAGTAATGAAGAATTTATGATCTAAAGGGTATCAAAATTTACAAAAAAAGCTTGATATTTATTTATTTACCTTATTAAAAATTTCTGTTAATGTAAGTTGTTTAAGTTGCTTCGTTTTTGTGCTAATACTTTCTCTTTAATTCTGTAAACAGATATAATCTCTTGTTTAGTTACATTGTTGAAGTCCTGTAACTGCTGTTTCGAGAATTCAGACTAGCTTGTCAATCGAAATTTTCTCGTCTTCAGAAACTTCTGTCACTTTCTTCACTCTCGGTAGCGGTATTTTCTGGATCTCGAACCATACTACAGATTTCACCATTCATTAATTGATTGATGATTGAGAAGCATTGTCATCATAATAAAAAACTTTTTTTGGTTAATCTTCGGATTATGGTAACTTTGCGAAAATTTGGCGACCAACCCTGCTACAGCAACCTGCTAGTTTTCTTTTTTGGACGCCATTTTGTTTTCACGAAGTACAGGCTTTTTTTTTTTTAACTCAACATTTTTTTTTCCAACAATCTGCTAGCCGAATTACGCTTATGCTAGAACTTTTATGGAACAAAGTGCTTAATCATGATGAAGATTAGGTGCGAAATTGGGAGAAAGTGCAGAATCGCCCACTGCTTGCCACGTTTTTAAGAATTGCACATACACGGTATCATCCATGTACACATCAACCTATTTTCACTTAAAAAAAATCCCAGAATTGCACAAAAATGGCATTACGCACACTCTTGACTTTATCCATGTACACTGCTAAAGTCCCAGCTAGCAACCTTTATCGCCTTACCAAAATGTCGCCAAACTACCTGTTACCATATTCCAAAGATTAGCCCTTCTTTTATATCATCTTCATTTATTACCGCTTCTCCACATTTCTTTACAAAATCCGTTAATTGGAAAATTTTGTCTTTGTTTTACGATATCCGAAAACCTTTAAAATTAGCGGCTATCATCATCAAATTTAACTATCTTTCACTATACATATTTGGCTATGCATTATGAGCTTGGCGACTAACGACAAGTTGTTCCATTAAATGTTATCTTGCTTCTATCGCGCACAGAGACAATTAAGCCTGAATTGTATTAGTTATTTATTATACTTGTGCCTATTTCTTGCACATGCTTACCAGAGTTCTGAATAAATAAATTCCCACATATACTTAAGCCTTATTAAGGGCCAGTGCTAGATATCTTATCGCCTGATGCAGTCTGTGTGGGTCCTAAATTCTGCGACTCGGCTTTATGAGGCCTGGTGCTGGTTCTGGGTTTATGTGACTAACAAACCAGTTATTATTAATTTAAATAGCCCTAAATGTCAACTTTGGGTCTATGAGTATCATCAACAAAATCTATTTTTAGCATATGGAAAGAAATTTTTGGTAAATTTTTCCTCGTCAACATTTTTTAGTGCATTTAACTTAAATCTGTAATCATTGTCAAGCGTAATGTCAACGTAGAAGGTTACCATACTCCTTTGTCAAGGTTACCATACTCCTTTTATTATTACTAACATAAAAGAATTGTTTAGACATCGTACATGAGTCTTACTCAAGTTGTCATGTTTTGATAAACATGCAGTGATGAAAGGAAAGTATAATAAATAATGATTTGCCAGGTTGGCATCAGATCAATGATGTATCTGTCTGGAATGTTTCGGTTTGAGATGTATGTCAAGCAGATAGGCAGCAATGGAGCCAAATTACTGATCGTACAAATTTATGCTAAAATGATTGTTTCTTCAATAACAAGTTATTTTATTTAATGTTGAAGTGAAATTAAGAATCGGGACTCTCGAGATGTTTTATTATGTGCGGAAGGGAGATGAGCATGGGTAAAGCCTACGAGAGAAACAGTGGTGGTGGTTTTGAGATTTGGTTTTTAGATCATTCCAGATAATGGATTTCGGACTTTGTACTGTATATGTATAAAATCTACATATAGCGTGTCAGAGTTCAGCTTATGTGAAGTCCATGATTATGTGAACTTTAGATCTTAGTAAATAAAACCAAGTTTTAAATAGGAATAGTTTAAATTCAGTGCTGAAAAATGAAGTTAAGTGTTTACAGCTCTGTATCATCAAAATACACATTTCTCGAACTATAAT